TCACTCCTTTAATCTAGTAAAGAGCCATCTCTGATATTTTCCCTTTCCGAAGAAGCATAACCCTGAGGAAATTTTTTGAATTGAATTTTTTCTCACATAATATAACTAGATAATAGTTAGTATTGATATAGTTACCAAAACGGCTATTTCAAAGACCTGAAAACTTAAAGCTAATAACTTTGTATTAGTTTTAAAGAAGTTTCTAGAAAAGTATAATTTGATGGCTGACTCTATTCTAGAAGAAGCTTCCTTAGGACAGTTATTATATGAATATTGACATAGTTTATAATACCAAATTCATGTATATATATATTCGTTGAAATGAATTATTACAAATGATGGATATTATACATTTTGATAATATTTATAAAATAGTCAATGATATGCATGAAAAGTTGTTTATGAACAGTGGACTAGTCACGTCGCTCTTTTAATTCTTTATGATAATTTTTTGCTTCTAAAGTTGTAAATGATATTAACTTATAGATGAATGTTAACATATTAGCTTTTTTACTAATAATATATTTCAGTACTATGATTAAATTAGCATATCATAAATATGAATGAATAAAGTAAGAAATGTTGTTTCTCAATAATAATAAAGAAAATTACAATGCTGTTTTATATAAATTGTCATCTCAAATAAAGACACGTTATAAATATGTGTATGTGTACATAGTAGAAATAACAATAAAATACACAAGTAAAAGTAAAAGTTTACTTCTGTATGGTCAATTGATTACATAAATGAATGCATATAAGAATATTCTTACATAAATACCAATTTTCTTTTCATTTTTAAAAAGAGCTTATCATAAATAGTAATAATAATAAATAAAAGAAATTCAATAAAATAAACAAAACTATTACAAATAATAAAATTTATATATAAGAATACTTATATATGGAAAATTGAAATTATAATAGTTCTACTAAATTTGAAAAGGCAATACATTTCTTAGAAATAGGTTGCAATTGTATTACTTAAAAATGATTCCTAGAGAAGAGTATGCTGAATTATGTAAAGCATTTCAAGCTCTCTCTAGATTTAAATAAGATATATTTTTAATAGCCCAACTGAAAACAATAAATAATGAAGAAATAACTGTCAGTCATTGTCTTAAAAAGAAAATACATGCCAATAAGAGAACTTTTTATTATTGAGATCATAATACATTACTTTGTCAAAAAATGTATCTTAATATATTAGGAATTGGTCACACATACTTTGAAAATATTAGAAATTATCTAGTGATAAATGGTATAATACCTTGCATTTATAGTAATGTAAAAACAGTACTATAATAAAAAACTAAAATAACTATTAATATAGACATTACTATCATTGTAAAAATCCTTCTCTAAAACTATGCTAAAATCTATGGATTATCAAGTCCTAGTAGAAATGTCAATTGCATTACTCAATTGTTTACACTTTTGTTAGCTAAAACAAATTATAAATCTATCTATTGTGATTTTATTGCAGGTCTTAAAAATAATAGCACATTAAAATTATTAAAGTATGATGCGTTTTACAAGTTATGACATTAATTAACACCTTATATTCAAATCATGAGTCTAAGAACAGATTTATATGATACATGCTAATATTTTTAGAATAGCTTACAGTATAATACTTGTAATGAAGAAGAAGTGAGAGACTTATTAAAAAAATACAAAGAACATTTAGTTAAGGTTAAATTAGAAAGAAACTATTACAACAAAAATATGAAATTAGTAAAACTATAGAAGAAATTGGTGGATGAGCATTTTATAACAAAAAGTAAAGCTTATTGTAGTATTAATATAACTATATATTATAGTTACAATTAAGCACAAAACATTTATATATCCCATTCCAATCAGCAAGGTAAGATTTATTATCTCAGTTCACATAAATACATTTATTTGGTATTCAAGATGAAGCAGTATGTGAACAAATTAATTATATTCTTGATAGGAATGAAATAATAGGAAAAGGTCTTAATAGTATGCTGAGCCTGATATTCAATAGAATTAAATAATTGAATAAAGGTGAGAAATATTTAAAGATTACTTACGATAATGCAGAAGAATAAAATAAAAATAATGCTATTATTTGATTTTATCTGTATTTGGTAATTTGTGACTACTATGAAAGTATCGAATTAAATTTCATAGTACTTAAACATACTAAATTTAAGTGTGATAGTAGTTTTGGATTGATTAAGAAACTATATTACAAAATAATGGTAGATTGTGTGGATTATATTATTGAGGTTATAAAAAGATTGAGCACAGTAAGATAACAAAGCTTAATGTTATGATAATAGGAAAGACTTTCAATATTCAGATCTTAATTCTGTATTGGAAATTTTTTTTATAAAACTAAATAGTTTACAAAAATATTAGTGTTTTATATTCAAAACAGCCAAACCTGATATTGTCAAAGTTCAATTAATTGCTAATAATTTATATGTTAAATTTAATTTATTGAAAAGCAAAAAAGCAAGTGTTTCTGAAAATACCAAAGAAATCAAATTATTTTCTATTCTAATACTAACCTCTTCTCTTTTGGATTACAAAAGATAAGAATATCTTTATCATAATATTTGCTCATTTTTTAGAGATGAATTCAAAGACATAAGTTATCCTAAACTAATCTATATTAATAATAAATTAAATATTTTAGTCAACCACAAATTTTATTACTTCATTAGTTTTTGTTTATTTTTATTAAATTTTTTATATTTAATCTTTTAATATTAATAATATAGAAATTAATTATAACATTCAAAAAAAATAATATAAATATGATAGATGAAGCAAAAGAATAATCTAATTATTATGAAAAAATTCTTAAATCAGAAGAAAAGGCTATCTTTGATAATAATTTTTTAAAATTAAATGGTACTTTAGATAAAATACTTCTTTAAGATACTGCTTAGTTATTAAACAATTGAAGAGAAGTCAGAAAAAAAATAAAAAAGGAAAAAATGGATTTAAGTTTAAAAAGTCATAATTTATTGGCTTTCATCTTAAAAGAGCAAAAAGCTGAATCTATTCCTTATTAAATTATTAATAATCTAAATAATAATAACTAGTTAATAAGATTATTAGTCAGTTTAAAGATATTTTGTTTAATAAATCTGATTCTGAATTTGATCAGAAAATTGAAGATAAAACAATTGCTTTAAAAAAACTTTTAAAAAAAGAAGAAGAAATAACTAAAGAAATTGAGAGATTAAGAAAAAAATATAATTTTGAAATTGTTAAAAAACAGACTGATTTAAGAAAAATTGTTAAGGTTTTGATTTCTAAGTTGAAAGATAATCTTCAAGATGCTAGAAGTGATGATTAAAAAATTTTGATAATATGATTAAGAGTAATAAAGAATATTCAAATCAAATTTATAAATCTAATATATCAAAAATAACTAAGCATTATGGATCAGTTATCAAAACTAGTTATAATAGAAATAATAAACCTTTTACTCATCCAATTTATTTGACTAATGATTTATCTGATCAAATTTAAGTCATTCTCAAAGATTTTGATAAAGATAAACTTTTTAAATATATTTTTTTTTCAGCTTGTACTTGAAGTAATTTAGACAAAATTAAGTTTAAAATAATATTTGGTATAGTTGTAGATTAAAAAAATAGCAAATTTAAAAGTAGTAGTAGTAGTAATTCAATAGGTTATTTTGTGATTCAGAAAGAAGTTTTGAGTTTGTTAAAACTCGTTCTACTTATAAAATTGATAAGACAATTAAATGAAATAAGAAAAATATTAAAAAAGAGATTAGACATTTTAGTGATGTACTTTATGTAATATATGCTCTCTTTTTCAAAGATAACAATTATAAAGATAGTCCTTTCTTAAAAAAAGATTAAAAGAGCTATTTATAATTTATGAATAATAAGAGTTTAGATAAACCTTATATGATGTATTGATGAAAAGCAGATGTAAGTATTATTGAAAAGAATTATTTTGTTGAGAATAGTAGTATAAGTATTCTTAAAGTTTCTTTTGACTTTAAAGAAAAAAAGTTAACTTAGGTGAATGGTCAAATTTCTGAATTCTTTTGATAAGTTTATAATAATAATAAGATCATTGATTTTAGTGAATATAGTACAATATTAAGTAGTAATGCAGTTAGTCTAGAAAAAATTCATAAAGAAGAAATAATTATTTATAAGAAAAAATTAAGTAGTAAAATATCATCAATGTTTCATCACTTTATACTTAGAAGTAATTATAGGAATTATATTAAGAATTTAGTCAAAAATAGCATGGATGCTAATGGAAAAAAATGATTAATAGATAATGAATATAAATTAGTTAAAAAAGAGTTAAACAGAGTTGCTAATAAAGTAGCATTAGATACTATAAAATCTTTTGTAAGTTTCAGGAATAGTATAAGAGCATTGAAGATTGATGAGTTAGAAAAAAGAGTAATTGGTTTTAATTTAAATCAGATAAGATGGCTTGCTACTAAATATAAAAAAAATAATAAAGTTACTGATTTAATAATAAATTTGCGAAGTGAATGAGTAACAAATGCTGATACTATATTGAAGAATTTAAAAGGAAAGTGTGTTAAGTTAGATAAGAAAGTTGATGAATTAAGAAAATTAGTTCTAAATAAAATAAAGTCAATAGTGAAAAAGAAATAGCAGAAAAAGTAAAAAAAGATGCTAAAAAATTACAGGTAAGTCTCAATTTAGAACTCTGTATGATAAATCAGGTAAGAGAAGTTATCAAAAATTATTATTTATGTAGAATATTTTAGAATAAATTAAAAAGTAAGAAATTTTAAAACTGATGTCACCTTTAATACTGATGTTAACTAATTAAATTAAATATCACAGAAGCAGTCAATAAAGATAAACTAGCTAAATATAATAATTGAGTTAGATTTAGTACTCACTTTACTGAAAGGTTAAAGAATTGAAAAGAAGATAATGTTAAATATTTTAATGATAAAATAGTAAGAAACTATTTAAAAAGAATAAAAGATTCTTTAGAATCTGTAGATTGGTAATTAGATCTGATTAAACAAATAAATTAGATCAAATCAATCACTATATTAAGCATAGTCTAACTCCTCCCAAAAAGAGAATTCTGCTAATGGAATTAAAAGTAGCTTTAGGAGTCAAAATTAATGTTTTCAGTGATCTAACTCGTAAATGAATTGATTATTTCAAAAATATTAATTTCAAAGTTGATACTAATAAAATAAAAAATTTGGCTAATAAAGTTAATGCTTTTGAAGCTAAAATTAAAACTCTCAACCTACAGAGGATAGACAAAAGTTTTTGGACACTTTTTTACCAAATAAAAAACTTATAATTCTTTAGCATTAATAGTAAAAATTCTAATATTATTTTATTTAGAGCTGGTTAAGGCATACATTTCATATTAAACTTTAGTACTTGGTTAGGCCTCCCTTTGCCGAAATCACAGCTTGAATTTGCTGTGGTATACTATTGACTAAATTTTTAATAGTATGCATTGGAATTTCTCGCTATGCCTTTTTAACATAGCAGTTGAGGTCAGCAAGATTCAATGGTAGTTTTTATATGCTCGAATGTTTTTTTTAATATCAGCCCATAAATTTCAATTGGATTAAAATCAGGACAATGGGCTGGTCAAGTAAAATATGACTCCGTGTTATTCTTTGGTTAATTCTTTATTTTGTCTCATTATTTTTTGATTTGGTAGAGATTAAGTGAATTAAGTCAAAAACAACAAAAACAACACAAATTTTTTTATTTTGATTATGTAAATAAATAATAGACAGTCATATAACTGCAATATAGTATCACAATTATATGATGAAAATTTGTTAAATCGCATTTATCAAGGTGTCCGAAAACTTTTGTCCACCTTCTGTAGTTAAATACTGTAAAGAAATGCTAGTTAAAAAACCTAAATTAATGAATGATATTTATATTCTTCTAAAAGCTAATACTAACAATTGAAAATGATTAGATTAATTCTTTACTTGAGATTTAAGAATAGTAGTCTATACTATTGCTTTATAAGAACTAAAAGTGAATAGTAATCTTAAAGCAAGAATCCTGCAAAAGATGAAAAATTATAAAGATAATAAAGATAATTTAATCTTATTAAATTGAACTGTTTATGAAGATGGTCAGGAGTTTAGTGAAGAAGGAATCATTAAGTTCTATACGAAATAGTTAAGTAGGTAAGATTATGCCACTAAGAAGTATAAAAAGCCTTTCAAAGATAATATCCAAAAACCATTTTTCTGAAGATAGAGTAATCTAGGAGTAATCTTCTCAGATCTTGAACTGGCCTTATTAATCACTGGTATTACTTGATTAGTTATTCATTGAAAATAAGTAGTCACTTGATAAAATAAACTCGCTGAAGAAGAAGATATTGATGATTTGGAAGAAAAGGAGAAATGTTAAATAAAGTTACTAAAAACACAAAAAAGGTGTTCTAATAATGATTTGATTGTTTATTCTACCAATCTTCTTTTCTTTCTTAGTTTATCATATGCTAATATTAATACTCATTTATTAGTTTTATTTTTCTTTCTTCTTAGTAAATTTCATAAGTAATTCTTTCTTTGTCTAAATACTTCTGGAGAATTTGAGTATTATTGATTTTAAAAATGTAAGTTGCAATCTTTTCTTCTTGTTCTTTCTTTAATTATGCTGTAATTCTTTAGTTCTATGATAAATTTAATGTAAATTAGTTTTATATTAATATTTTTTTTATATAGAAATAATCTTATATTAATCCTGTTATGGTTTATATTCATTACATTCTGGTATAATAAAGTGAATATTAAAATTAAAAATTCATAAGTTATGAATGAGCATTATTATTACTTTTCAAAATACACTGATTAATTTTACAGTCATATCAGCCTCTTTAGCTCACATGATTAAATGTTCACTTTGTCTGATTTTGTTACAATCTATCCCATATGAAATTAAAATTATTTAATTTTAACTATTTATTAAAAATTTGAAAAGTCAAATTTAATTATGATAATTGAAATCAATTATGATAATCAAAATTAATTATAATAGTTAATAATTAGAGTTCTGAACAAATCAGATCAGTAAATTAAATGATAATGAATTATTCTAATTAAATGATAACAAATTATTTAAATTGAATATAATAATATTATATCATTTTAATTGAACAATTTATTATTATAATAATTTAATAATTTATTATCATTTAATTAGAATAATTCTACGATCTGATCTGTTTAAAACTCTAATATATTTTAATTATTATTTATATTTTAAATATTATAATTAATTTGACTATTATAATTAATTTTAACTTTTTAAATTTTTTAACAAATAGTCATAATTTGATTTTGATCATTTTGACTATTCAAAGTGATCAAAATTAAATAATTTAATTTTATGTATAATTTTAGAATTTAAGATTTATTTAATTGAATTTAATAAAAAACTTGAAAGTAAGTTAAGGTAGTAATAATATTCATTTATTATAAGTTTATACCTTTACTTTTTATTTTATAATAATTTTATATTACATTATATACTCTCAGCCAAAAAGTTTAAGACCACCTGGCAAATAATAAAAAAATGGTTTTTTTTTAACAATTAACTTATTTATTAACCTAAAAAAATTATATATGAATACTTTGCTAAATAAATAACAACTTTTTAATAATTTTTAAATTCTTTTTAATAAATTATCAGTAATTTAATATGTAACATTTGTTATAATCTTTTTTTTTATATAAAATTAGGTTAGTTATTAATATATTAAAAAAATTTTTTTTATTAAGTATGTATTGCGCAAATGCTATGTTTATTAAATATTATATTATATATAATATAATGCAAAAAACCTGGTCTAAAATCTTGCAAAATTAAATATTTTTATTATTACTAAAGTCTAACAATAAAAAATCGTTATTTTTTTTTAAAAAAAATAAATTAATAAATTAATTTTATAATGTTAACCTCCATAAAAATTTATTAAAAGTATTCATCAATATCTAGTGGAATAACCACGTGCTTTTATCATAACTTCTATCTGATTTTTCATACTTGCAACCAGCTTTTGATAAACCTCACATGAAATTTCAAACCAGCATTCCTGTAGAAGCGACTCTAATTCTTCTAGATTTTTTGGATGTTTTTGTTTAGATCGAATACGGCGTTTAAGCTCATCCCAAAGATGTTAATTGGGTTGAGGTCTGGACTTTGACCAGGCCATGGCAGCAAAATTATTTCAAATTCTTTAATAAAATTAAGTATACTTGCACTAGTATGGATCAGTGCATTATCTTATTGAAAAAAATATTCACCATTATTCTTTTCAAACTCC